CTGATCAGAAATGTTATTATTAAGACATCATTGCTTACTATTTTCAGAATTCACACAAGCACAACATCCGCAGCTCTAATTATGAGAAAAACTAAAATACATACATTCGTGACGCTCTTCGGCGACGGTGTGGTATGACAGAGCCTGTTATATGACATTTTAGTTTGGCACTGTACTATGATAGCTTGTTTTGCAAGTGTCGGATGCAAAGGCAGTCGATTATCACAAAAAATGTGTCGACTACCGTGACCGCTTACAAGACTGATGAAGACTAACTAACTCTTTTTTTTTTGTTTCAAGATCATCCTCGGTCCAAGCAACCCGAGGACTTATCACTATTAACAAGGCCTAAGATGTGTTCCTTTGATTACTGAAAAATTCTGTTCACCTAGTTTGAAGTAGTCAGGACTACGAATCGGTAGCAGATCTTCCATCCCGTAACGTATCACGAAAAGGTGATCTACCCACGTTACGGGGCACTTCCCCTTAGCACACATCCCAATGATTGAGTTAGCGTTCACACATCCGGACCATCACGGATACCAAAACCGGCAATCGCTAAAATGATCAATAACAGCTGACTACGGACTAATGCCCGGAAGATCAACAATTAAACCAAAACATTCTGGCTATCAGGACCAGGGCATTCGAGCTGCTCGTCGTGAAACCGTCTGAGCATTTCTCACCCTGACGGCAGCTGCTTTCTTATCCATCATCCACCTGTTCCTCGGTGATACCAACAATCAATACGAACCTATCGATTTGAAATTGGCTCACTACTTGACTAGCCTATTGGTCCCAAGCAAACGATTAACGTATCCCATTCTTGACGGAATTCTAGTACTACACTATGTTTGTTTTGATTCGCTATGAAAGTTTGACAGATAAAATGAGGGGTTAGTGGATTATCCTATGTTTCGAGGGGTGAATCGATTAGCTTGGGACTGAAGATAGTACCAGAGCTGAGCCAAAAAGTCGAGCACGTTTCTTCGGGACCTTCTAGTCTTAGAGTTACCTCTATGGTGATACCGCTGAGGCAACGAACTTTTACTAGCAGGAACACTTTTGTCGCATTCATCAGTGTCATCATCTTCAAACACCGCCCATGAAAGCAACTTTACCGCTTCCTTGACCACCTCGAATAGTGCATCCTGTCTTGTGTTGGTTCGCTGACAGGCAGCCATCGTCGATCTTCGCAGCCAATTTCGATCCCCGGAAGAGCTTCTCCCATGCCCCATAGCTTAAGAGCGTTCCAATGATCCCCAACGGCTGAAGATTTCGAATACCAGCAGATGCTTTTCGATGCTGTTTTGCTGCAGCGGTCAGCAGTTTCCTGTGACGACACGTCTGTCATTTGCAGTATGGAATGTTGTGCTGCCGTGACATCGACATTCGCTTGCTCAGCAATGTTTACAACATTTTTGCTTCTAACACCAGCAAGCTGCCTGTTGTTCCACACCTTTTATGATTGACATCGCCTTTGGATCACCGTCCACTCGATTCCACCGTTTGTGATTTTTTTCCTCCAAATCGAAACATTTACACTGTCAAAATACCGGGTTGCCAAACATGCCATAATTCACAAGCAAACCAGATATTGCTACGCACAAAAATCTGAATTTTCTACACGAATGTGAAATCCTGACGAACATGTGAAAAGGGTCAATAAGCCAAATGTAAACAATGGCTTTAAACGTCGATTTGACGAATGACAACACACCCACAGAAAGTTGCTATACCATATGATAGATCAAGCTTCGTCTGAATCAGTCACAATCCGCAAGAAACTGACTTGAACGTCATTGAAGTCATTGTTTACATTTGGCTCAATGGTCATTTTCACATGTTCGTCTATAATTATGTACTTTAACTAATTATGTTTGTATTACTTCAAATATTAGACTTATGCCGCGGATACACCTACTATGAGCATGAGCATTATTTGTATAATAATTATGAGCACTATACAACAACTATACACACACACTATACAAGCGTGACCATGGATGTGCTTATAATTTAAAGGGTATACAATTTAAAATCTGCACACACAAAATTCATTCTCAAAATTCGAGTTTTTATCCGATTATCACCAAATTTTCAGGTAGTAAAAAGAAACAATTAAAGTTAGTTTTGGCATCATTCGTTTAATTTATTTCGCCTTTATATCCGAATGCGCGAACCTTGGCCTTAACCCCAGCCATAAGGTTCTGCACGACAGTTTTTTTGCATATTAATTAGGGATTTTTCATTTCTTCTACATTTTTTACCACTTTAGGTCGTTTTAGAAGGTGTTTCTTCATAATGGCCAAGTATTTTTTCTATTGGGCGCAGTTCCGGAGTGTTTGGGGGGTTCAGATCTTTCGGCACGAAATAGACATCATTCGCCTTATACCACGCTAGCACGTCCTTCTTGAAGTAGCATGATGCCAAATCCGGCCAGGAGATCGTCGGACCGTCGTGAGCCTTCAGGAGAGGGAGAAGCCGCTTTTGGAGAAACTCTTCCAAATACACCTCTCCATTCATGGAGCTTGCGGTAGCGAAAGGTGTACTCCGCTTTCCGCAAGTACAAATTGCTTGCCAAATTAAGAACTTCTTGAAGAACTTCGAAATTTTCTGTGTCCGGAGGTTCTCGGGAACAGGCAGTCACATACAGGTTTCCTGGAATCTGGTTGAAGTCCGCCTTCACATATGTCTCGTCTTCCATTACGCAGCAGTGTGGTTTCGTTAACTTCTGGTCGTACAACTTCCGGGCACCGCTTTTTGCGACCGTATTCTGTTTCTCACCACGGTTTCGGGACTTCTGAACCTTAAACGTACTTAGTCCAGCTCGAGTTTTGGTATTTTGCACGAGTCTTGCTCACATGCAACTTTTTAGCCACATCTCGAACTGAGGCTTTCGGTTTCCGTTTAAAGGCCCCAACCACGCGTTTGGGATCGTTCTCGTTGACGGCTTTTTTTTCCCGGATCTTCGCTTCCGATCAACAGTCAGACGTTCTTCGAATCGTTTTATGATACCAGACACCGTGGAATTCGCGATTCCCAACTTTTTTTTCCGATGGCGACAAATCCTTATTCTCAAAGTACTCGTGCAAAACTTTTCACGCACGCACTGTTCTTTCGTCGCCATTTTGAAAACTTTTGCGTACCTGATGAAATCAACTCACAGAACGTAAACAATACACAATTAACTATGTCTACGCAAAATTAATTTTACCCAACGGATCAAAAGTTATAGCAATTTGAGTGTGTGCGGATTTTAAACGGTACACCCTTTATTATACAAATAATGCTCATGCTCATAGTAAGTCATACAAGTGTGTCCGCGGCATTAAATTGGTGATTTCTATACGCTAGATGAGGAGATGAAAGTATAGAGTTGATAGTTCTGTTAGAGTACGGCAGTGTGAAAATTGTATATAGAGTAGAAAGCGAGAAAAAGTCAATTTTGATAAAGGAAATGATCAACCCGGTTCGTACCTTTATCAAAATTGACCTTTGCTCGCTTTCTACTCTCTATATACAATTTTCACACTGCCGTACTCTAACGGAACTATCAACACTTTACTTTCATCTCCTCATCTGTCGTATAAAAATGACTTAAATGATATTTGACGTAAAGCATCTCCAACTATAGAAATATGTGTGGCGTATATCAGCCAGCGTAATATGGTGCGTATTCATTAACCGTGACAAAACAGCTGGATCTCGAGCCGGTGTCAATATAAATTAGTGACCGTAAGTGGCGGTTGGTCGGCCCACACTTCGCACTTGATTATAACACAGCAGAGCGGAGTTCAAGGAATCAGGAACCAAAATTTGGAATTGTTTGATTACTGTGGACCAAAATTTTCAAAAATTGCGCTTATCTACTGGCCATCTTTCAGATTCCTTTTATCGGAAGGAGCTAGAAGTTCCAGCGGATCAGCGAGTCTCGAAACCAAGACCTCGTGGCGACGAGGTTTGCTAATCGGATGCAAGTAAATCGAGCAGATCGTTGCGGAGATCTGATTGGTTGGTTGCTTTCGAAAGCCATCGACTCGTAATTTTCGGCAAAACAAGCCAAAATCACTTTCCAATTGACACCGATTCTGCACATTGACATCGGTGTAAATATTTACGTTATTTGACAAATCTCAGGTAATGTTCATCACACCGCGTCCATCAAAGAAAAGTGTAAATGACGGGTTCCGCAATTCTTTACATATTATCGTCAAGAAGTAGATGAATTCCTTGATCGCTGACTTTTTGCATAAAGGTGCATTATATTCCAGAGCATCGTTTTGCCAAAAAAATAACACTCTAAGACTTTACCCTGAGGATAATAGTTGAAGAAGAACCGAAGCCGTAACATCTCCTATTAGCCATTCTTTAGAAGAACGGTCCATGGCCAATTCCATTACAAGTTCGTATTGTTCTGAAATCCTAAGCATCAAATGAAATTGTGATTGGTAATGTCTCGGCGATTCCAAAATCTCGCAACATACGGATGAACTTCACACACAAATTAGCTACGCCTGATTGCGGTTTATTTTACTTAACAAGCATGTCACGTTTCCAATCATACCGACGAATTCTAAAAAGAAACGCCGCTAATGCCATGTTTAGAACAACACAGCGCAACCTTGCAAATTGCATATATTTTTCAAACTATTTAACCCCATCGTCATCTGTCATCGACGATACGACAGTTGTTAGCGACTTGTTAGCCAAAAAAATGGGCGCAAAATTTGTCCTCCTGCCAGCGATTGCTCTGCTGCTGTGTTTCATCCTACTTCCAACCCTGGAAGCAACGCCTTTGCCGCGACATACTTCCGCGACATTGAACCTTCGTACCGTTCTGGGTCAAATCAGGATGGTCGACGACCAGATGGACGACGTCCAAGACGAACTGGAGCATGTGATCGATAGTATGCAGTAGAAGTGGAAATACATACATGTGACCGAATTGGAAATCCTACCTAGTGTGTTCTGATTTAAGGCTTATTAATATCACTCACCTGAAGTAGTCCTCGTAGAGCAGTATCAGCACCAGCAGCGGCCGGGACATGGACCACTGGTTCTTGCAATCGTCGTACATGACGATGTTCAGCAGCGTGGACAGCAGGTTCTGCAGAATCTCCGGGTGCATCTCCATCACCTTGAGGAACACGTTGTTCTCCGGTAGGACGCTCTGCCTGAGCTTCTTATTCGGGAATGTCGTTACCAGCAGCATGTGTTTTTCTGAAAAAGGGAAAAACAGGAAAATTGTAGTGCAAACGGAGGGATCGATTTTCGTTCAGTGTCAGAGCGTGTTTGCGAAAGCTATAAATAGAGTGCACCGTCTTACACCGCCACCCGGTCCAAGATAGTTTATCTGGAATGGAGAATGGAAGACTCGCACAAAACGAAATGAATGAAACGGGGGGAATAGGCAGTGCGCATTCATTCCGCGTCGATACATGTTCACCGTCCTGGCTTTAGTAGGCATTTGAGACTGCACCTTCACAACGGGTTCCATGGTGTAATGGTTAGCACTTTGGACTCTGAATCCAACGATCCGAGTTCAAATCTCGGTGGAACCTGAGTGAAGATTTTTTTTTCGCGCTGATCTGATTTTTTAACAGCAGTTAAGGATGAGTTTCACGGAATCCATCCGCTTCCGCAAAGTATGGTTGAAAGGTCACAAACAGACGTCATCTACACTGACTTGTCTGCTGCCTTCGATAAGATAAATCACGCCATCGCGATCGCCAAATTGGATAGACTTGGGATTAGCGGAAATCTCTTGAGATGGTTTCTCTCATATCTCGCCGATCGTCAGTTGGTGGTAGCCCATGGTGACTGCCAGTCCGACATTTTCCGCAGCTACGTCAGGAATACCTCAAGGAAGTCATCTGGGACCGTTGATTTTCTTACTCTACTTCAAATGACGTCAATTTAGTTATCGAAGGTCCACGACTATCGTATGCAGACGATCTCAAAATCTACTTACGGATCTGCTCGATCGATGATTGTCAATTCCTCCAACGTCAGTTTGAAGCGTTTGCCAGCTGGTGCCATTTGAACCGAATGACAGTGAATCCTGCGAAGTGTACAGTCATCACTTTTACCCGAAAGAAAGAACCAGTTATTTTTCACTATGCTCTCCGGGACACCATTATTGAACGTGTGAGCCATGTTAAAGATCTAGGTGTCATCCTGGACTCTCAACTTACATAGAAGCAACACATCTCGTACGTCGTCGACAAGTCGTCAAGGACATTGGGCTTTATCTTCAGAACAGCTAAGAATTTCTCCGACATCCATTGCCTCAAGTCGCTGTATTGTTCCCTGGTACGGTCTATTCTAGAACATTGTTCTGTGGTTTGGAGTCCGAACTACAACAATGGTACTGAGAGAGTCGAGTCCGTTCAACGCCGCTTTCTGCGATACGCGTTGAGAATGTTACCTTGGAGAGACCCGTTTCATTTGGCCAGCTATGAAAGTCGCTGCCAGCTGATTGTCTTGGAGCCTCTTCGCACCAGAAGAGATACTTCAAAAGCCCTGCTTGTCGCGGACACATGGCAGAACTGATTGCATGGCAATCTTGGAGCAAGTAAACATTAACGTCCAACCCCGAATGCTTCGTAACAATGTTATGCTGAGAATGCCACTAAGTAGGACAATCGAAGCGCAGTATGAGGCTTTCTCATGCAGAGCGTTGCACAACGGGGCTTTGTCTGACCCTATTCGGGTAATCGCGGGTGTGAGGCAAGGATGTATATTATCACCGCTACTGTTCCTCATCGTAATCGTCGATATCATGGTTGGAGCCGTTGACCGTGTACCGAACCGTGGGTTGCTGTGGCAGCCTATTACTATGGAGCATCTCAACGACTTCGATTTGGCTGATGATGTTGCGTTAATAGCACAACAGCGCTCTGACATGCAGAGTAAGCTCGACGACCTTGTGGAACGCTCCTCTGAAGCAGGTCTAACCATCAACGTCAACCAGACCAAATCGTTGGATGTCAACACGGAAAACCGTTCCAATTTCACGGTAGCTGGGCAGGCAATGGAGAAAGTCGAAAGCTTCCAACATCTTGGCAGCCAGATAGCGTCGGACGGCGGCACCAAGAGCGACATAGATGCACGGATTAAGAAGGCGAGGGCTGCTTTTGCCAGTTTGCGAAATGTATGAAGAGCAAATCAGATCAGTCGACGCACAAAAATCCGAATGTTTAACTCGAACGTGAAGTCTGTCCTGTTATACGCTAGTGAAACATCAGCGGAGAACACTCAGAAGCTGCAGGTGATAATCAACCGATGCACACGGTACATAATTCGTGCCTGGTGGCCCCACAATTGGATCTCAAATTTCGAGCTTCATCGTTTGTGCCATCAGAAGCCGATAGAGACAGAAATTCGTGAACGGAAGTGGAGGTGGGTCGGCCACACACTACGATGGAGCGGAAACGAAATCTGCAAGCAAGCACTGAACTGGAATCCAGCAGGACATCGCAGCAGAGGCAGACCCAGAGGCTCGTGGCGGCGGAGCTAAACTCAAATTTAGGTCGTTTTTTCTATTCTCAATTAATCATTTAGAAAATTGTCAATACTTGAAAAATTGATGAAGCTCTGAGCTGCTGTTAATTTGTTTAGATCTTAAGGTTAATTCCGAGCTTGAAGAAATATTCCCAATATCTAATTAAAGCATAGGGTAGAGTGCTACTTCGTCGTAATCGCCCATTTCCGTTCTATCGAGCAGCAAACATCAGTATAATCAATGATTTCACCGTGCACAAATTAGTAATATGTTTGTACCGATGCGTTAGTTCACAAGCTACATCACAAAGCCTATTAGAGCGTATTGGGTGAATATTGACATTCATTGTTCTCAAAACAAACGAAGCGCTCCTAGCGAACTCGCTTTTTCTATCTTCATCCGTAGGACGAAGAAAATCCAATGGTGTTTCAATGCGTTTAGATGGAATTGAAACTCATAGGACGAATTTGGAATCAGGAAGCAGTGTTAGATTTTTATCAATATCTCAACAATGTGTGGCTCTTTATCAAATTCAACGGTACTTATGGAAAGGTGAATAAATTTAGAAGTCATCTTTGATAGAAACATTTCAATTTTTGTTGAAGCCCGTTCAAGAAAGAGAGGTAAAGCGTGGGTTGTGCTTAGTAGGACGGAAATTAGATCAAAAACCCTATCAAAACATATATTTTATGGTTCAAATAAAATTCCCGGTTGATTCCCGTCTGATTTCGATTCCCGGTTAATTCGCACTTTTCCTGATTTTTCCGGTTTAGTGACCACCCTGTAATTGATTCTTCTTTGCATTTTTTTCCCTGAAAGCTAATAAAAAATATCTAGTAGTACCTATGCTACACAGTCGAATTTTTAATTGCACTAATGGCAGAGTACTGACCTCTAAGAAATTTTGTAAAAAAATGCAATGACAATAGTAGGTAGCATGACTGAAAATAACATTTTAAACGGTATAAAAACGTTAGAAAATGGATTAATAGAATCTGAAATAGATCATTTTGAAAAAAGTGTCGAGTTCATTTTCAGTTTGGTGCTTGAAGGGTTAATAGAACCCGCTATCTCCAGCATATTCTTGCTTCGACCTACGCTCTTAAATGGCCCACAATTTACTCATGGTTGGTATTACACATCGTTCGAATTGAGGGACGTATCAAGCTGAAATAAATGTGAAAAGTTAACTTGGACTCACCTTTCAACTGCAACTGTTTGAAAATGTATGTCACAATGTAATCTAACGTCGAACAGCAACCGGAACCAACTAACACATCTGTGGATTGGAAATGTAAGCATTATATTCAGCACTCATTTCGCAACAACTCCACCTTCTCACCTAACGCATTAAGACCCTTGGATATACTTTCTAGGATGTACAGAAACACGGGCGGTTCCAACGTGGACAGGTATGTGATGTGATCCTGAGCGAGACACTCAATCAGTATGTAGTAGGCTTGCGATAGTTTTGGGTAGACCTGTGCGGCAAATGACTCCGGTTATATTAAATCGTTTCAAAGCTTATTTATTGCGACAATCCTACCAGTATGTCATCGTGGGAAATCGACAGTATCAACTTGGCCGTCATGTTCAGCACATTGTCCAGCGCGTCGTCCCCGTACAGCTTAAACACACCGAAATTTACGTAGTTTCCGCTGAGAATGGCTTTCAGCATCTGGAAGCACACTGCGTAACCTTTCAGCTTCATCGGGTAGATTTGCTCTTTGGGAACCTCTAGCGACAGGATTCGTTCACCTACATTTGACGGAGAGAAAAAAAAATCTATAATGAAATTCTCATTGCTGATGATAGAGGTTTGAGAGCGCATACCGTAACAGCAAATCAACTTGGAAGTTTCCCTAAAGAGCAATATTCCATTTGGACTAGAGACGTCGAACTGCAACCGTTGCGATCGATTGTAAACTAGTTCGGCGAACAGCTTCAGCACCGGAGTTGTGACGGCAGGATCGTGAGCCCACAGCTCCACGGCGCGGATGAGAATCGGCGAATAGTCCGGATAGCTGCAAGCAATCCAAATAATTACCTTGAACGATCCACTTATTCCGTATCAAATACTTACATCCAATCGAACAGCATCATGTACGGATTCTTCGAGTTGAACGCATGCGTCAAGCCGCGGAGATCGCGGGACAGCCCTATCAGCTCCTTGCGGGCTTCTTCGCTGGGGAAACTCATCATGACCATGTTTTCGATCGTGTTCGTCAGCGGCATCATGAACGTGTTGAACCGTTCGACGTCCTCGGACAGATCGACCATCAGCAACCGACCCAGACAGGTGTAGAACATGCTGCGACAGCGGGATGCACTCACCGCACCGGTACCGAGGAACGAAAAGTGCTCGCGCTGGATGGGATGGGAAAATTGGTATGCTTATGAAATATTGTATGCATTTACAGGATCGCAAAAAAAATACGATTTTGTTCAATTTTAAATAGGGCTGTGTAACGTTGAACGTTGACCGCCTTTTTAAGCATAAGGAGTCGGAGTCGAAGAAAAAGTACTGACTCTGACTGTTATGGCGGTGAGGTCCCCCAGCCATCATGTTCAGGCAAGTATGCTTCCATTAGCAACAGATATTTGTCTGATCAGTTTTCGAGTTCCAGTGTTACGCCTCTGTCTAGATACCGAATCCTTCACCGAGTTCTTCCAGATGAGTAGCATTTCTGTTGCCAACGGCATTGGACAACCACTGAACAGCATGAGTCACCTAACTTCACGCCCGAGACTGCATTTTGGAAGCTCCTGGTTCCTTTAGTCCAGCCGCACTGATTCCTGCCTGCGCTCATCTCAATGGTCCCGGTCCTGTGACTAGATGCGGATCAGGGGTCTTCCAGCTTGCTTCAAATAGGCAAGTACAAATGTGATCAAGACAATTCTTCGCCTTATATGCCTTCAAGTTTCAGCACGTCTTGCATTTCCAATGTTGCTAACCTATTCCAATCCTGAACAACGCGGTCTACAGTCCACCGATGACGGCATACTTTACAAAACCGATTCTGAATATACTGCACCGAATCGTAGCTGCCACGTTTCTGAAACTGTCAGTGCAGAACGCATTACTTGTCACCCCATGGAAGACCGTAAAGCCTCGCAACATAGTCGTGTTTACTGATTCCTGTCACCGTAGTCTTTCTGGCCCTGTAGTTGAAAACAGTGAAGGGGTCTTCCAACCTTCCAACCAATTCCTCGCCTGATCAGCCTCCATGTTTCAGCGCAACGTCTTTTTCACCATCGACTGAATCTCGCCTTTCCGATTGCCAACCTATGTTATCCGAAGGATTTGTGGTGTATTATTACTGCTGTTGAGTCCAACTACGATGCAATAGTTCTTAGCGAGGCCTGGCTAGATGATCGAATTCACTCAGCACAATTATTTGGGCAGTTTCTCATTTTTTCGCAATGACCGTAACCGGATGAACCTGCAGTACTTCTCTTCAGCAGCTATGCAGCAGTTCCTGACCGTAAATCTAATTTGAGCTGCGTTGAGAACCATACCAGATTCATTGGTGCTGTATTGTCCCGATTACATCACAACGATCTAGCTCTGCTATTTGACGACTACAACCAGTCTGGGCTTGTTTGGAAAATTTCCGCGAATGATCATCCAACCATTGACATTCTTCAGTCGTGCTTTCTGCTGTGCTCTTTTGAATGGTTTGATGCTAATTAATTCTCTACCTCACAGAAACTCTCGGCTACTTGCTCTTGTACTGGCGAACGAAGCCGCCGCACTAGAGTGCAGTGTCACCGAGACATCAGAGTCTCTGATACATCTAGACGTCGATCATCCAGCGTTGGAAGCATTCATCAATCGATCAGCTCCTGTGCTCTATGAAGACATAGTTGATATACAAAGCCTGGACTTTCGTAGAACTGTCTTCGTTGCATTGAATCACTCACTGGCACAGGTAGATTGGCAGTCGCTTGACTCGGGTTCGTCCAATGATGAAGCCGTTAACTACTTCGACGAAGTTGTGAGCCTCGGAGGAGACCTGCTCCAAAACATGGTCTAATGCTCGATTACAACACTTGAAGCGTGTGAGACCGTAAATACTTATTTACCTTACCAATCAGGCTAAGAAGGCCTGCTGTCCGAAGAAGTCGTCTCCACTCTACTCGATCCATGGCCACACTTCGCCAGCCTCGTAGTCTGCGAAGGGTCCGCTGCGCGCCCCTTACTCTTGTTCCTGTTGGGTCGCTTTCGAGAACCATTTTCACTAGGTGGTCGTGCGGCATTCTTACGACGTGCCCAGCCCACCGTAGTCGCCCAATGTTTGCAATGTGGACGATGGAGTGTTCTCCCAGCAGCTGGTGCTATTCGTGGTTCATTCGCCTCCTCCACGTTACGTCATCCATCTGCACTCCACCATCCGTTCAAAAACACCAAGGGCGTTGGTCCTCCACGAGCATAATCCTGGTCTCGTGGCCGTAGAGGACCACCGGTCCAATCAGCGTCGTGTAGGTAGTGAACTCCGTGCTTCGGCGAATTTTATTCGACCGGAGCGTCCTCCGGAGTCCAAAGTAGGCACGATTCCCTGCCATAATGCTATTAGCCTTCTCGACAACTACAGCGCAGCCACGCTTTCTCAAATTAACCATGTAGTTAACAAAAATAATCGTAGTTTGGACCTCTGTCGTGAGCACTCAGGACAGGACTCCTTGTGCACTAACTAAGCTAGTTTCACATCACCCTCCTTTAATTGTCACTGTTGAGATTTCGACGATTATCCTGCTGCGGTTTCTTATGATTTCCGCAAAGCTGACCACCAGATCATCATTGTATTGTCTAGCATGGTATGGGAGAATATCCTTGATCCTGATGACGCTTTCTCTGAAACTTCATTATGTGAGGCTGAATCGTGAATACCTTTCAAGTTTCCAACGAGCCATCCAGCGGAAACTTCCCGACATACTTTTGGAACTACGTGAACGAGCAACGTAGGGAGTTCGGCCTCCCATCGTCTATGGAATTCAACGGAGAAGTTGCTGCCACCACTCAGGATATATGCCGCGTTTTATCCGACAAGTTTGCCAGTGTATTCACTATAATGAGATACTAATCGACGGCCATATTACCACAGACAGACATTCAAGCTTGAATTTCCGCATGTGTAAAACTCCGTAACCGTCATTTCAAAAGAGATATTCAAGAGATATTCAAGTGGCAATAAGCATCAAGGTGGCCCAATTTTCATTCACCTGTCAGAAGTAAGTTTTCATTTTTGACTTGGACTTGGACGCTAAGCACAAAGCTGCGAGATGTTTCATCCGGTAATGAATTGGCTTGTTTAGGTGAAACTACCTTCTTCGGCTATGGAAATTTTAGTTCTAGTAGTCCCAATTGGGTCAATATTCAGAATCCTTGTTGAACTGTTTTCGTACCACCAAAATCTACTCCAGAAGATTCTTCCACAAACAGATTTTCCCAGCTGTACTCAGCGTCCAGGGTGCAAAAATCGGAAACGGAGCTGCGGGACCAGCCAATTTTACACAATGCTATCCGTTGGTTTTTCCGAGAATGAGTTGAAGCGAAGCTGTTAACAATCGAAGCAAGCCTTGACATTTATACTTAATTGTAAACGTCTTAAATAAAATTAGTTCTTCTCTAACCACTACCAAAAACAGCCGTCTTTAGCTACTCTCTACAGGTTATGGGCCTGTCGTGAAGTCGTTTTCCTGGACGAAGGAGCCCCATCTGAAGCTGTAGGTCCCGATGCTCGGCACATTGACTGACCTTGTGCTCCCTCTGCGACAAACTTCAGAACCACCTCGGTCAAAGGTGTTGAGGGGCAGCGGACGGGAGCACGTGCTTCCAGGCAAGTACAAAGATTTTCACGTTGATAGTACTGGCCTTCCTGGTATCTCACTTTCACATGAATCGAGCGACTTCCATGGTTGTTGACGATAGCACTGGTGGACCGAGCGCAACGACGGTCTAGTGGCATTAGCATCTGGCATGGATGGCGAATTCGGAGACGACCCCGTTTCTCATGGCTCGGGACGATGGCAATGCGTGGAAGCGTGCCATGCAAGAGGACTTCGACGCACTGGTGGACAATAACACCTGGACCCTCACCAAGCTACCGAAGGGAAGGAAGGCAATCAAGTGCAAATGGGTGTACAAAACGAAACGTGATGCTGCAGGAGGAGTTCAACGGCACAAGGCGCGGCTGGTCATTAAAGGCTACTCACAGCGAAAGGGGGTAGAGGCTACGATGAAACGTATTCTCCCGTTGTTCGCTCTGGTTCGCTACGATACCTTTTCGCACGACCTCACGATCGACCAGATGTATGCAGTGACGGCTTTCCTGCAGGGTGACCTCGACGATGGAACAGCCCCCATGCTTCGTTGACGGAACAAGGAAGACCGAGGTGTGCAAGCTGAACAAGGCGTTGTACGGCTTGAAGCAAGTTTGGAACCACAAACTGGATGCGGCTCTGCGGCGATTTGGCCTGGTATCAACGCAATACGATCCTTGCGTCTACGTCTGCATTAAAAATGGCAAAATTCTTATTGTTGCTATTTATGTAGACGATTTAATGATATTCAGCAACGACGAGACATGGAAAAATATGCTGAAGCAACAGCTAAGCAACACTTTCCGGATGAAAGATTCTGCGAAACACTGTCTTGGGATCCGGATCGGCAGAACAACTGACAGGATAACGTTGGATCAAGAAGCCTACATCGAAACGATTTTGAAGCGGTTCAACATGGATCGGTGCAAACCAGTGAAGGTACCAATGAACACTAGCGAGAAACTTTCCAAGGATGCGAGCCCGAAGGATGACGAGGAATCTGCTGCTATGATGAATGTTCCATATCAGGAAGCTGTCGGGTTTCTTATGTATTTGGCGCAAAGTACTCGACCGGACATACTGTTCGCCGTGAATACCCTCAGCCGGTTCAACAATAATCCTGCGTTACTTACGTGGAACCTCAAACTTGAAGTTGGTCTACAACAAGAATGTCGATTCAAGCATAGTCGGCTACTGCGACTGTGAGGTACATGAATACGGGAAATAATATTCACAGATTCCTTTCCCCCACTAATGAAAGTGTTTGTGATACTTTCATACAATGTTGGTACGACTGATGTGGAACATTGGCAACGCGGCACAAATGATGTGGCTACGAAAGCTCGTGCTTGTTCCATTGCATTCAGCAGCAGACTCCAGGAAAGGTAAGTCCTATTTTGTGATCCAACCGAATTCCTGTGTCGAGTGATTTCACAGTAATAAGGTATAATGGCGATTGTATCAATTCACGGAATTCTTTGGGTATTTACAGCGACGCGGATTGACGATCCGATCCGGACGAACGTAAGTCAACCAGCGGCAAC